CTGAGAAACTCAAAGGCTTACTGTGGAATTTCAGCCTCTCTCTTGCCCTTTTGAGAAAGCACATTTTAATTACAGTGGAATGTGTGTGTTCGCACTTGCTTATTAGTCCTGTACATTTTTCTATGTGGTTCTTGTGAGTTCAGTAAAAACCTTTGTTGTTGGCTGGCAGATTTTAGCGAAAGTTTATTTCTGTAGGCTCGCGGCTTGCTGTGGATCTGATCATTGTTCTGGTTCCCACAGTCTTCAAGCTCCGCTCCAGGAGAAAAATACAGATTTGTCACCAGGGCCTCCCACTAGAATCTAATTTTAAATTTGCAATCTGTTGTCTTGTGAGGTGCTTCAAATTTGGTTGGAGAGTTAATATAGTTCAGACTTTCTTCTGGAATCTAATGGCCCAACTGTTTGGAGGTTGGAGAGTCAGTAACTTAGGTTTCATTGAAATGGGTATGTTGGGTTTGTAGCTATTTGCAGAAATATTTAATATTCAGGGTAAGGGAAGTTAAAGGAAAATTACTGTTTTCAAATAAAATTATATTCTTTGAGGGGGCTGTTGTCAGTGGTCATCTGGAATGTGATTGTCTTTATGTGTAACCATTTCATGTAAGACTCATCCAGTAAAAACTCAGCAGTTCAGCTGGAGGTCAGCCTGCTTGTCTGGGGTAGCTGGTGTGGGGCAACTGTGTTATTTCCAAAGCTTTCCTGCAGAACTTGTGTGTCTCCCTGCTTATATCCTAATGTTGTCAATATTAAGTTTTGGTTTAAAAAAAGCCCCAATCAATTCAAACCCATGTAACGTCGCTTGACGTGCAGGTTGGCTCAAGAGGGACTTTCCTGTCTGCTTGAAGACTTCCACAGTTTTGACATTTTTCCCGCTCTGAACCAGAAAGGAGCAGGTCTTTCAGAACAGAGAGCTCTTTCCCAGAGCAGCCAATAGCTCAGTGGTCAGCCCAATATCTCAATGGTCAGGCTGCCTCTTGAGGATGTGGAGGAGCAAGTTGCCACCCTTCATTTGCCTGACTTGGGGAGCAGATACGAATCTCAATCTTCTGCGTCTTTGGCAAGAAACTGAGTCACTGGTGCCTCAGCCATTGGACGTGCCTGTCTCCCTGTTTCAGCATTCATATCTCTCCCTTTTGGAGTGGAGGAGCCTTTCATCAAAAACAGTCTATTCCCATGAAAAGTTTGGGTTTTGATGAATCAACATTTTCTGCTGAAAACCTTCCAACCAGTTCTGGTTGCAGTGCGTGGTCTGTGCGCGCTGATCTCTGCTTGCTTCAGAGAGTAATTCAGAACACATTTCTGACACGTTGCAATCAATGGTCGAGAGCAACAGACCTGCTTAAAGCATCAAGATGTGTCACACTTGATTTATGTTGTATCCTGGTGATACCTTGATGGGTCTTTAATGGTCACCTTCAGATTTGGCGGGTGAGCTAACAAGGGGAGCCTTTGTCCTACTAGTATTTGTGTGCAACTCCCATTAACATTACTCATTTTCTTAATTTGATACAGATTTTTTTCATTGAGTGTGATAAATTCAGTTAAGCCATAGACAGGCAGCATCTGGCAGTCGGAGCTGGAGCATTTTAAGACATTTCTGCCCCAGGGTGTCTGCACTACCCCAGGAAGGGGGAGGTTGGGGCTCCCCTTCCCTGCCCAGTGCCTGCTCCTGCTAGCTGAGGATGCCGGCATCTGTTTCAGTGTGAATTCACATGTTTCAGGGCTGCTTTTCCACATCAGCCTCAGCTGACCTAATAGCTCAGTGCTGCAAAAAATGAGCGGGGTGCCACTTGCTGTTCCCGTTTTCCTGGCTCTTGCATCACCTTCCAGCTGTGCTGCCCCATCCTCACCCTGCTGTGTCCCCAGGCAGGCACCCTTGTGCTGCCTCTGGCATGTGCCAGTTCAACTCACTCTCTCAGCAAAATAAACTAATAAAAGTCACGGTCTTCTTCCCCTCTGCTAAATGTATTTATTTCCTGCCGGTTTAGTAGATCGACTGCATGAGGACCTGAACTGGTTCAGGTTAACTGGTGGAAATGCTCAGCCAGGAATGGAAAGGGGATGCAAAAATCAGGGTGAGAGGATAGGATGGGGGACCCTTCCAGGGGCAGCCATTGGTCTCAGGCACCCCACAAACAGTCACCCTCAGCTTGACCCAGGAGGGTTGGCTTTCCCCATCCAAGGTGGACTTAGCCTATTGTGTCCTACATCTCCAAGTGGGCTGGCCTCTGCTGGGGTATGGTGACAAGCCATGGAGGTGGCACTGTCTTGCACTGCTGCAGATGGATCAGCTGCACCATCTCTGCCTGTAGCTCTCTTGCACCCACCAGACAGCATTTGTGCAAACCTGCAATGTAATGATGGGGAAATCAGTGGGATTAGGGTAAGGCCTCTTCTGGGGTGCAAGAATGAGGTATGGGCTAGTCTATGGGTTAGATATCTGTCTGTGTGATTTGCAAATGTGTCCTCACCTAAAGTGCCAATCTACAGAATTAAAAAAGGACAGCCCTTTGAAGTCTGACACTTCTTGCCAGTATCTAGCAGATACTTCTCATTGTGTGAAATCACTCAGTAAACATTCCTGATGCCGTCTGCGGAGAAAAGACTTTCCTCCTTCCATGAGAGTGTTTATTTCCTCATGGGATTCAGCCTGAGCTGCTGCTCCTTTCCTTGCCAAGTCGTTTGTGGTTCTGTTACTTTTTGGCTGGGTGAAATTTTGCCTGGTGTGTGTGGAGACTACATTGAGGTGGTGGCACGGGGCTGCTTTTCATAGCCACGCTGCCTGGCATTTTCATCAGCAAGTGTGCCTGGCTGTATGATGTGCGCTGGATGCTTCTGCCCTTCAGCAGCTCAGTTTCTGAAGGTAAAGAGCCACTCTTCAATCATTTAGGGTTTCAAGAGGACTTCTAGAAACTGCTCCTTTTCCTTAAATAGGCACCAAAGTGATGGCTGCAAGCTGGAGACTGGGGATAGATGGCTGCATGCTCCGATGGGCTTTGCAATCAGTGGAAATCCTGTCAAATGAAAGTGTGGTTAGCAAGAATCTCAGAATCAAAGCAGCTAAAAGCATTACCCCAAGAGGGTTTCTTTTGCAAGACGGGGGAGGGTGTTGAGGTTTGGTTTTAGACATTAGCATTGAAGACAAAATGCAGTGTTTGTGCTTTAAAATGTTTTAGAAGCAAAACCTAGCTGACATTTGTTTTTCAGTCTGGTTCGTATCAAAGGGCTGTAGCTTTTAAGGAATAATAAATCCTGTGTAGGGATTTATAATGCTGTTGGGGTTTTTTTTAGATTAAAACCTGCCCTCTTTTCAGTGCATTTATTTTTCTAAACGATGCATGATAACTGGGTCTCATGACAGTCAATGGGAGTTCAGCCCTTAATTCCAGTAGACGTAGGGTATTTCCTGGTATAGTTTACTTCACATGTGATTATATTTGTTTTAGATACATGGAGGTGGCCCTTACTCCAGCACTGAACAGATTTTTAGCCTCAGACACAACCTACTTAGCTGGGTAGAAGAGTAGAGAAGCACAGTCCTCTCCACTGATTCCAAAGTATAACTGCGAAGTTCAGTTCTAGCATATGCACCCATGGCAGCCTATGGCAGAATTGCTGTGCCTGCGTTTAGCACAATCAATACCTCGCTTTCTGTGTAATTTATGTAGGGCTAATTCAGTTCCTTGCAGCACCAACAGTGTGTATTTAAGTAGCAAGGGAAAATACACAATTCCATTCATTCTGCCAGCATCTGTCTCAATACCCATCAGCGCATCCTGTTAAAGGAGAGGAACTTGCCCCAGGAAATGAAAACCTCCAGATTATTTTACTGTCAAGGCAGCTTATTTTTCAACAAAACTAACAGAAATATGATGAAGTTTTGTCTTGGAATTTCTGTTCAAGATTTATGGACTATTTATCTAGATTAAATTGTCTTCTGTGTAATTCAGAATCTCCTGTTTAGTTTTGAATGGCCGTGTACTTTAACATTTACTTTTCTTGTTCTTCTTTTTTGCTCTTTGGCCAGAAGGAGCCGATACTACTGATAAAATATTTCTGACATTTGTAGAGTGAGATCACAGACCTCAAAGTGTTTTCCAAGGTTGAATCCAAATCATCACTCCCATCTTCTGGATGGGAAACCTGTTTCACGACAGGATGTGCACAACTGAATAATGCAGGAGGTGAGGTACAGAGATGGGGGCAGAAACCCAGTCCGTATGTTCCAGCTTAGTTTTCTCTTTGCTAGATCGAAGTGCTTAGATCTAGCTATCTGCTTTCAGAGTGAGTAGGAAGGAAAAGTTATTTTTGTGTAGTCTGAGTCACCTATGCTAATTTATTTTCATAATATGGCTTTTTGTGTGGGGCTCTCTGTACCTGCTTAACGTTGCCCTGTTGGTTTTTTTTGTTCCAGAAATCAAACCTATCATTAGCTTGCTGCCAAGAGTTCGATTTGTACTTTGCTATTTGGTTCTTCAATTCACACTTACTAACAGAAAAAAAAGTAAGATTTCAGATAAAGGTGTATATCCATCAACTTTTGGGCCTCCTATTACATGCAGATAAACAATAGCTGTTGATTTTTGAGTTTGTAGGATTTGTTGGAATTGCGAAGCCAGTGCTAAGAATCAAACAAACGTGTGCAGAGCTGAGATTGCCAGTGCACTTTGGTGGTAAACTGGCTGCAGTTTACTCCAAGCTTCAATCCCTTCCTCTTCTACACTCTTCACTTACACCAGCATAGTTATTGTCTGCCTTTTTCCTGCATACCGATTTAACTGAGTTGTATTTGTAAGTTTGCTGGTACAGTTGCTGGCTTCCTTAATTAATTCTATGGGATCAGTTGCCGCTGTTAGAGTGTGTGCTGTGAGACCAGGTGGTTGCTGTGGTGTAGGTTCATTAACAAAACAAAGTGTTTTCAGTGTACTAGGCTGTTTGTTCATCTTTTTGGCTGTGTGTTGCTTGCTGCCTTTAACCGTCCCCACTCTCTCCCTTTACAGACTGTGACACCATGGGAAACGCGGAGAGCCAGAGCGTGGAGCACGCCTTCTATGGAGACAAGCACACCAGCCTGGGCCGCAAGCACACTTCCCGCTCTCTGCGCCTCTCCAATAAAGCCTCTCGCCGGACGCGGCATGCTTCTTCTGGAAAAATCATCCACCGTAACTCAGAAGTGAGCACCCGCTCCAGCAGCACCCCCAGCATCCCCCAGTCCCTGGCGGAGAATGGCCTGGAGCCCTTCTCCCAGGAAGCTAACCTAGAGGACTTTGGAAGCCCCATCTGGGTGGACCGCGTGGACATGGGCCTGCGGCCCGTTTCCTACCACACTGACTCCTCTGTAACCCCCAGTGTAGACAGCAGCACCGTGCTCACCGCCGCCTCCGTCCAGAGCATGCCTGACTCAGAGGAGAGCAGGCTCTACGGGGACGAGCCGCCCTTTCTGGCAGAGGGTGACGGGAGGTCACATCGATACTCGTCCAACGGGACAAACTTTATGGAGACAGCCAGCTTCAAGAAGAAGCGCTCCAAATCGGCCGACATCTGGCGTGAAGACAGCCTGGAGTTTTCGCTTTCTGACCTCAGCCAGGAGCATTTAACGAGCAACGAGGAAATCCTGGGCTTGGCTGAGGAAAAGGATGCCGAGGCCACCCGGGCACAGGAGGCTGATGGCAGCCCCCAGCCACTGGTTGCCTGCCAGCGTGCCAACTCTATGAGTGACTTGTATTCCCCCAAAACCCCAAGCGCTACTGTCAATGGGGGCCCAAGGAATGCCTTTGGAGGGTACTGCCGGAATTTAGTGTCCGACATCCCGGATATTGGGAGCCATAAGATGGCATCGGTTACCGCTGAGGATGCGCCTTCCTACAGTAATTACAATACGCTGCCCTGTAGGAAATCCCACTGCCTTTCCGAAGGGGCCACCAACCCCCAAATTAGCCATAGTAACAGCATGCAAGGCAGAAGGGCAAAAACTACTCAGGTAAGGCAGTTTTCTTCTATGTAAAATGAAGTGGGTGGCATTTGCTAAGCTGTGTCTGTAGATAAAGATATTCCAGGTTCTTCCAGGCTCTGTTTTCTTTCAGCACCCCTTTTCCAAGAACACAGCTGTATCCAGGAGAGAGCTGAACTAACCAGAATCCACAGCTGGCTTGATCCCATCACTGCTCCCTTCCTTATCTGAAGCCCTGAGCCTTTTCCACTCCTCACTGCCTATTGGAAAAGATAAATCTACATTTGCCAGCTGAAGGTTTTCCTGAGTGTTTTGCAGTGCTGATGGTGCCTTTTTTTCCCAGGGTAGCTGCCAAAGCCAATTGCTCCACTCGGGAGCTGACACGTGTTGGTTGTGTCTCCCCATTCTGCCCTCCCTGCTCTGTTGCCCTTCTGCTGCCTGCTCATGTGCAAGCACTCGGCTCTCGTGGCTGGAAGCAACGCAGCAGCATATCAGTGTTTCCTCTCCCCTCTATCGTAAACACTTGCTAGGTTGAAATTTCATTCTTCTAATTAGCTGATTGTTCATATCTGTGCAAAACATCACCCAGAAACAGTGCTGTCCCTTGCAAGAGACTGCCAGCCCAAGCAGCTGCGGTGCCAACCTGATGTAAACTGAAAAATGATAGGGGATGTAGATGTACGGAGAAGATGGTGCTTCTCCTAGCCAGGGAGGATGTCATACCCTTCATCCTTCATCCTTCTAACAGGCAGCACCGAGCCAAGATCAGCTTTTCTATCTGGTGCCCCTCCCACTATCCAAATACCAGACCTGTGACCTTTGCTTTGATGGCTGCTGTTGGGTCTCTTTTTGTGTTCTGCCCTGCTTTTCTTGGCTGTGTTCTGCCTGATTGAGTTACACAGCACCGCCTGGTGCTGCAAACAGCAATTCTGCTTACAGCGAAGAGGCAGACTGCTCAGAGAAGTGGAAAAAGGAGCTACAAATCCTGCCCACCTGTACAAGCTGCGTGTGGCATACACATAGCGGGCATATTGCCCTCAGTTTAAATTCATTTGCTGGGCTTGCTGGACCTTCTCAGAGCCATGGTCCAGCTGCCTAATGCAAGAGGCTGGCTGTGTTTTTTACATTAACTACTTTGTAGCTGTGGGCACCAGCTCAGAAACATAGCAGGGGGACACAGACAAAGCAGTGTGGCTGTGCAGGTCAGAGCTGTGCACCAGATTGCATGCTTCAGTGGCTCCCCTGATTTTGTTGCATGCTTTATCCTACATATGCCATGCAGTGTACCCACACCGCACTGCGTGACCCAGAAAAAGAAAAAGCAGCACGCTCTGTCAAAGTCGGAGGCCTGCAGACTCGTGTCCTGCTGCTGGACTGAGCTGTTGGCAGGACACCAGTGCTGGAGATATGAGGCTGGGCAGCGTGAGTCAGGCAGGTTGCAGTGTGCCGCAGGGGAGGTGCAGGGCTGTGGAGGTGCAGAGGGCTGTTGAAGGGCAAGAGGAGCATGTGCCCCCCCTTGCCTGCTGGCACTTGACTTGTGAGAGCTGATGGGAAGGGGTTGGTGAGTGACTTTACAGCTGTGCTTGATCTGTGGAGATATGCTGCTTCTAAATATAAAAATGACATGCTAAAGCAGATGCTGCAGTGTCCCACAACAGCAGCTTTGTACTTCAAAATCAGCCCTTTATTTTCCGGGGTATGTTTATGGTGTGAGTGCAAAAAACCTTTGGTGCTCCATCAGGGCAGTGCAGGATAAAAAGCAAGAGAACAACAACAAGAAGCAAAAAAAAAAGGATGTTATTTGGCAGCCTTGAAAACCTAACAGCTTTCATGGAGATTGGTAGGTGCAACTGCTGCCTCCAGCCCTCTTCCAAGTGTATTTAACAAAAAGAGAACAGTGTCACTGGTGAGCAGCAAAGTGTTTGTTTTTCTTCTTGGTGTCTCTCTTGGCATTAGGAAGATTACTCTGAGGCACTTAGTGAAAGTCACAAATTTGCGTAGCATTTTGTGAGGCCTCAGTCATACCCAGAGACATCCCTTTGTGGGGCTGGTTTCATTAGATGTATCTCCTGAGCTTGGAGACAGTGGCTATAAGGAGCCTCAGCAGTGTTTATTAGCACATAAATTCAACAAAATTAAAGCTTTGCAAAGGTTAAAATTCCTTCCAAGTCTTTAATCCTAGCAGCATACAGGATAAGATATGTGTCAGCAATGAAGTCTTGCTAGCCCAAGCCTACCTTTAGCAAGCTTAGGGAAATGACAATCATTATATGCTTAATAGAGCAAAAAGAAAGACCAAATTTGCACACAAAATAAAAGGACTGGTTCATTGGTGAGCCTGATTAGGTGGCTTTGGATGGGGCAAGAGGAGGGAAGCTGCCAACCTGCTCTGTACTAGGTCCCCAGTCTGATGATGTCTCAGCACTTTGCTCATCTTTACTTGACACTCCTGGTGTGAAGTAGAGCGTGATTGTTATCCTACTTGAGATGGTGGAAGCTGAGATGTAGAGCTGATGGCCTTGCTGCTTTAATGTTAATGTGCTCCTTGGCACTGCATTGGTCTGTGCCAGACGGTACTTGGGTGCAGTTTGGGGAATTTTGTTTTCCTCTGCCTTTCCCAGTCTTTCAACACTTTCTCAAGGGGCTTCACACTCTTGATGCTTGCTTTGAGCATTGACCCAGAGCCTGGCATATGTGTCCTCATGCTGTAAAACACACAATGCTGTAAAAACAATTCAGTGGACTGACGAAAAACTGTCATGTTTTTTTCCAGCCTTTTGAGCTGCCTCCCCCCTCCCAGTCCCTCAAAATAATAGCTATGTCTTAGGGCCATAGGGGCACCACACAAAGGTGACCCAGGGCCACATGTAATGTGGTGTAGGACAGAGTCTTCCCTCTTGGCTTCCAGGCCAGTGACCCTGTGTTATTTAATAGTGCAGATGTAGGTCCCTTGTTCAAAGCCACCTAATCGAGCCTAACAGACTCAGGAGTGAGATTTCTGCCCAGATCATCATTGTCCATCCTCACAAGAATTTGGGTTTGTATTTATTAGTGAGGGTTTTTTTTCAGGTTTTGGAAAGTCACAGCTGGGATATTAACATGTTTTTTAGTCTGACCTACCCTGGTGCTAGTAGTGCTTGAAGGTCCTCATGGTCACTTGTAGGTATCTTTTGACTAGTCTAGTTCCTGTAGAGGTCCCTGAAAGCAGAAGGCAATGAGTGTAGGTTAAGTGTGAGACCACAGCAATGGGTTTGTGCCCTTGTGTTTCATTCCTGAGTCCAGCCACTGTTACATGCCTGTTCAACTACATGCATGTACGTCATAATTTCTATGTGGGATAATTTGATTAGAAGTTGTCAGTAGCTGTAATTTTCACGATGTGCTGACCCCTGCTCCTGGAAAAAAAGCATCCTTGAATGGAGCTGTACATGTTTTGTTGTAATGCTTTATCCATGGGTTCTTTACAAGTACATTAAAGAAAATGAAAAAAAAAAAGCCAACCCCAAAAACTAAATCTCTCCCTTCCAAATTTAAACCTTAAATTGAACTGTGGGAGTCACTTTCCACTAATTGAGAGGGAGAGCTTTTTAATGCTGGAGAAACAATTATATTCAATATGCACAAACTGTTAATATTCACAGGGTGGGCTTGGGGCACCCATGCAGCAGTTCTGGTTTTTGTAATGTTTTAACATTAAGGGTTCTGCTCTGCTGAAGCGAGACTTCCCGGAGAGCTCTGCTGGGATCATGTTTGGCTTTTGGAGCTGGCGTCATGTAGGTGGAAAAAGCTTAATTGGCTGACATTTTCACCCATTTGTGCTTAAAGGGAGACAAGCTCTGGTTGGATACAGCTTGTTCTGGCTGTGGGTTGTGAGGTCCCTGGGATCCTACAACCTGCTTGTTGGGATCCAGACTTTGTGAAACGGCTCTGTTGTGTCCTGCCTGCAGCTAAACATCTGCCTGCGGGATACTCCTTCCTCCTTCTCCTCCTCTTCCTGGTGGATGTTCAGAGACAAATGTAACCACATGCTCCCCTGCTGTTATGAGCCCTAATTGAAATTTGAGGAGCGGAATTAGGGAATGGAAACTGTGAGATACGTTTTTGTGCCACTTCCAAGCCCATCTTAGCATCTCCTTACTCCATGTTCCCCCTCCGTGGATAATTTCTGACTTCTGTTTTCTTTAGACCATCAAATGAGGGGTATGCAGGCTCACTTAGGGCATGAACCTCTTCTGACATTATCAACTCTGCTACCAAGGCAGTTGTGTGAAGACATCCGCCATGTAGAGAAGATGTTCCTGTCACGCAGCAAAACCTACGTGCCTAGCTGTGGTGTTGGCAGTGTGTCTGTTCATGGGTGTCTGCTATCCAATGCTGGCTCCGGCTCAGCAGGTTCCACTCCTCCTCCCTGGTTTTTGTGGTAGCTGAGGTGGTGATGGCAGTGGACATCAAAGCTGAGATGTACAGAATTACTTTATCATGGAAGGTCATGGAAGGTCATGGAAGACCTTCATGGGCTTCCAGTGCTGCCTATTTGCTTTGTAGGGGAAGCCATTAGGAGTAGTTCCTAGCATATCTGAAGCTTTCTGTGGGAGCGATGGTGTTTACAAGCAGTATTTAGAACATCATGTGACTCCTGTGTACATTAAAATCCAAGGAGACACGGTGGCCAAAGCATTTCTGCTTGGTCAGCCACTCACCTATGAGATGAGTGTCTTGTTCCTCTCAGAGCTTTATAATCCAATTTGTGATTTCATCTGGAAAGCTCAGTTCCAGCGTTAGTGCCGCAATGATGCAGTCCAGTTTTTTTGCATAACTTTTGAGAAGGAGCTGCTAGAAGATGGCCCTCAACTCTTCAGGGAAAGCAAAGGTTTTTTCCTGTGTCCAGTCCAGTGTTTGTTGTGGAACTGAGCAGGGGGAGAGTGAACAAACTTCCTGCCTGATGGACTTGGAAACTGCACCTCAGTCAGCGCCAGCTGCAGACTCTGTCCTTGGCATGTGAAATCCCCTTTTGTCTGATTGTCAAGTTT